ATCCAAGCGACAAGCAGGTAGAATTCAAGAAAAAAGTCGGGTTTGTTTTGCTTGACCGCTCTTCAAGATCCCAAACACTTATTGTGGGCGCTACGCCTATTGAGTTTGTGACGATAATAGAAAACCCTGAGGATTCGTAAGTGAGTACTAAAGTTTTGTTTACTAAGTCACAGAAAGTTCGACAGGCGAAATAGATGTAACACATTTCCCATCCATAAATCTATAGGCCGTCGACAGTGCGTCTCGCAGACAGAGGAAGGCGCAGATCTATTACGTTTGAGTTACCCGTAATGTAACAAGACGCTGACTTAGCAGTATGCATTGCTATTCGGCTATTCGGCCTCGTAACGTACCTATTTGGAATGTATTTGGCTCCTAGAGCATCGCTTGGCTCGAGGACAAGTGGGACAATAACAAACGGAGCCGCCATAAAGTGGCAATGTCAATTCCAACTTGTGTGCTTTTTCACCAGTCTAGACACATTAACTAGCCATTGTGTAACATTTTTACATTAATGTGCCGGAATCCTCTGCAGTTTGTACCGAGAGATATGAAAGTTTCAACAATGTAGTTGATGGCGTACAAATGCACTCCCCTGGGTAGTCTATTTGCTTGTAGTTTGCTTCATTCCGGGCTCGCAGTATACTAGTTATTTTATTTGTTGTTACGTAACACAGCAACCTTTCCAAGTAGTCGGATAAACCGTAAAAATATGAACATTATCAGCACTACCGATATCACGTTTATCCTTGCCAACTTCGAAAACTTTTCTCTTCAATGTATTCCGAACGTAACGGAAGGTAAAACTTTTTGTACCTACAAAACATGATTTGACAGATTGAAATCTATAACACCGTTGGGGCTGTCGGCGGCTGATGTAGCTAACCGTGCGGGAGATGATTGAGATCAAATCGAATGATTGACACGCCACTCACTTCTCCTCATTTTGCAATTCTTTCTCGTGTTTCGATTTCAGTTTGAATGCTGTCACCGTGCCTACGACACAATATTTCTAAAGGAGGAAAATTGAATTTCGTGTCAAAAGCGGAAAACGGCAACATATATTCAGTTCTTTGTTTGTGCGTACAAACCATTTAATTTCACGAACAACGAGTAAAATACATTGTTTATTCGTGATAAAATATTTTTCATCCATAAAATTTTATTAATATTTCCGTGGAACTAACTGGGACAGAATAGCGTTCATTAAGCGTCCATTTCAACATAAATTAGGGCACCGGAACTAAAATAACTGTCTATGTTGCGTAGGCCGGTGCGGGTTGGCATCGAATTGTGATAGAGGCTGGTTTCGTTGCCAAATTGCCCTGTCCGCTTATCATCTGGCTTACGTACAGCACACCACTGCGCCGTGTGGAGAGTAACATTTTTTAAATTTGAATATAGACGAGATTTTTGAGGAAACCTCTTAGTTCCCTAATATCTTGCTTAAGCTTATCTGGTGTGAACCAACATTTGTTGTAGACGCTACGAGGGTAAGACAATCGTTGTTATGTAATATGGGTATTTGTGTAATTGGGTCAAATGTCAGTATTGTGCCAATTTTGAAACAGCTGCACTGTAGTATCAGATACACAATTTTGGGTGTTGCGATATTACCAACAGCCGTCAGAAAATTGAAACTATAAAATCGTTTCTTAAATAATACTAGGGTAGAAATTTACACGCTGCATTTACAAATGAAAGACTAAACTAAACTTGAAATCAATCACAAAAGCAATTAGTGTTGCCGTTTGATCCAAAAATTTTGATATGAAGGTTTTCTATTGCAAAGGGATTAAAACGAAATCCCGACGCGCGGGGCGCCGCCGGTGACGCGTGCTCTAGCCGTGCATTTAAAAAGTCACTGCATATTTTTTACAAAATTGTGGAAATTTCCAGGCCACGGGGCTTAAGGGAGTCGATGACTTGGAAAGCATTGGTCTCCTCGCTCGATTTGCCCTGCAAATTGATTTTTATGTGGGCCGGGAAGATTCCTCTGTTTGTCATGTTGCGCCATTCATCAATATTGGGTTTGTTGCTGCAATTTGTCAGGAGGGGATAAAAATGTTGCGTTGGGTGTAGAGAATTATAAGGATTCACTGTAGTTATCTTTTAATTTTTCCACAGACTTCATTCAATTCTTATGTTTCTGAATGCAGTGAAGACAAAACTTCGACTGCACGGTAGGTGCGGTGGCTGGGCAACCGGCTGCCGTGCAACGTGTCGCGGGTTCGATTCCCGCTCGCAACACCACTTTGTGCGATCCACAAATTGTTGTTTCGGGTCTGAATGTCATGTGTATGTGAACTTGTACGTCACGAAACAGGAGATAATACTAGTGTGGGGCTACGATAAAAAAAACCTGTTTTATGCAACTACAATGTTGAATATTTACCAAATTAAATGTAATTTGTATCATCATCTTAATATCCCTTCAATCTACCGTTTAGCATTATTTACTTAGAAGACATAATGATACGTCGATAGCATCAAAGAGAACCTCAAAGGTAAAACACCACCATGCATGCCGCTGAAAACTTGGTTTGCAAAGCAAAAGCACATACTCGCTCACTTACATATTATTATGTTAACAAAGATTTCTCCTTTAAGTCTGGATTGCTGCGCTCCTTTTGAGGGGTAGAGCGGGTCGAGCTTCCTGCCCTGCCACATAATCGCAGCCGCTTTTTGCGCTTTACTTGGTTGCCTTACAAAGAAAAACGTAAGCCGCGCTCTTAGTATCAGACGTAGGCGTTTCCACAGCTCTTTATATCTCGTATTATTATCCCGTGTAAGTAAAACGCTCAGGTGTTTTGCCATAGCATGCATATTTTACCTTCTTTTGAATACTGTTTAATTTACCGGAATACGGAGTACGTGGAGAGTATGAATGGAACATTTTTAAGGTTGCATTCGGCTTATTTGTTATTGAAAATTCTGTTTAGTGTCTTTTCAACAGTAATGTCGGTAATGGATTTCATTTTATAATCAGATTATACGTTGCAGTATGTAAGCAAATTAGTTTTTATAGGGTTTCTGAAAACACCTGACTACATTGCTAGTCTATTAGTATAGGTAGACTAAGGCTAATAAATTTCGAGGTAGCTAGACTAGGTAGTCCTAATAGGACATAGGTAGAAGGACATAGACATCTACATAGGTAGAAATAATAATAATAATCTTTATAATAAAAAAGGTAAATAATGCCTGGTCGATCGAATGTGTATTAAAGTTTCATAATATACATATATAAAAACCTACGTACGAACGTAGGTTTGTAAAAGCGTGATTTTCTATAAGCATGAACTTATAGAAAGTCACGCTGTTATCCAAAGGGAACAGCAGAGACTATAAACCTACTATCCATTGTACCTCTATAGCCTTTATGCTTTATCATATACATTTATGTAATACTTGCTACTTCCGCGCGGTTTCACTCGTTCTGCTCGGCGCCTATTAATCGTGCATAATATTTTATAGCCTATATCCTTCCTCGATAAATGGGCTATCCAACACATAAAGAATTTTTCAAATCGGACTAGTAGTTTCGGAGATTAGCGCGTTCAAACAAACAAACAAAAAAAACAAACTCTTCAGCTTTATAATATTATAGTATAGATTAGTTTATATGACCTGTTAATAATATATAACTTATTAATAGTAGTTAGATTCAATATATTGATATTGTAAACCATATAATCATAAAACAAATAATCATTCCATTGAACAAATTATACAAAATAGAGTGTCCAACCAGCGATCCTGAAATTACATCTGTACTAATAGTTTTATACGTCTGTAATGAACATACCAACGATGGGTAGGTACGTAAGTTTACCGTCGACTTGACGCGTGATCGATTTATGATGCTCTGCTCCTTTCCCCCACCACCACTAGGAAAATTAAGAGTTTGATAAACCACAGGTGCTGTTTACTTTGTTTGTTGTTTGCAGTAGTTTTTGTATAGGTTTTTGTCAAAAGATATTATTGTGCCAAAATTATGCATTTGATCATTAAAACATTTTGCAATTTTAGTATTCTTGCTTTGAAGTAGGGATTGAACCTAGTACTTGGGTGTGAACTAATGTAACCATTTAGTATAATGTGCAAGCTTTTCTAAATTCAATTTTTTTGCTTTCGATTACTCATAGTGTATTTTAAACGATTTCCACGTGAAATTCTGCTTATACTTACCGTTCATCTTATAACGCCAAACATTTTTGTCCCAAAAATAGATAAAATTTTCAATGAACCTCTCTATAATTCTTATCATAACAATAACTCCTGGAATCCTCCTTCGAGATAAGCTTAACCTTACCCGAGATTTATATCTCGAAGCTATAATAAAACAGTATCCCAACCATCGGATAAGGTTGCCACCAAAAAGGCTTTATTTCCTTAAACCTTATTCGTATAATTGGCAGTATGGCAGGAGTGTCACAGCCTCACAGCGTAACATATCGACGAAATATTTCTCGTCGAGACAGTCGGCGCGTCATTTCCGGAGATCCCCACAGGGACAGGAAACGCAATAAATCATTGGTCATTGTCGCGTGGGGCCAATTGAACGTTGATTTTTCTTCGGCGACAAACACGAGTCTGATTTGATTTAATTCTGTTGCAGTTGCTTTTTTAATGTTTTCTGCGAAATATGGAGTGTATTTTTGTTTTTGGTTTGTTAGGGGTTCTTTTCAGTTATGCGGTATTGGGTCGAATAACATAACTAGTGAGTAGTGAAAATGTAGTGTTTATTCTTCTGTTTTTTTTTATTACCAACATTACAGTGGACTCGTCTTTGTTACGCAAATGTATTTCTTTATTTCCCACCTCATTGAATTTAGGTGTAGCAGTAGGATCGTTATAAAAAAACCAACATTTAGATTATTGTAAAAAATTGTGATATATTTCTTTGTTAGACTATGAATATTTAACTGTACAAAATACATGGTGTTTCTAATTTACAATTAATATTAATTAACAAAATAATATAATTATATTATATTATACGCATATAAAACATTACTCGATGGCTGGCGACGAGCGGTCATTTGTTAGAGCTTTCCTTAACTTTACCGTAGCAAATTGTTGCGGCCTGTTGAAGAATAAAAATACTTTTAAAAGTTATTTTGAGATAAAGTGCGTTTAACGATTTTTTTTTCAACGAATATTTATATAACTGATTTTTATTTAGTATTTTTTTTTATACTAGATGTTTTATTTTTTATGTTAAAAAGTAAGGTATAATTACACAGTAACGTAGTAAATAACTACATAAAATAACTAGAAAGCCTAAGTATACAAGGAAGTCACAAAAAACAACATTACGTGCTTTCAACAGAAAAAGTAAACAAAAAGACAAACAAACCTCCTTCATTTTATTTGTAGACGGCTGTTTCGCGTCCCCATAAATCATACCAGGGTCCAAAAGTATGGCCTTCTTCGGGCAACATCTCGCTTCCTTCCGATGGTCTCTTCAATAACTTAGTACGAGGAAGCAACTGTGGTCTCTGCTGCTTCAGAGCTTCGTTGAACTTTTGGTCGTCAGATTCACTGTACGGTCCCTCGCTCCGCCGGTCGATAAAACGCCTCGCTTCAAGTCTAGCCTCCTCTTGACGAATCTTCGACTTCTCTGCTTTTTTCGAGTCAGTCTCATAGTCGTACCGAGACGATCTCCTCTCTTGGTCACTGAAGTACGAAATGTTAGATTCATAGTACCTTTCTTCTCTGCGTCCATTGTACGGTAAAGAGCTATCGTCGTAACTTCTGTTCGCCCTATTTTTCTTTTGCTCCCTGCCTTTCGTGTCAGTGAATTCTTTCCTTGTTTGGCGTCTGTCTAAGGAGTAATCAATTCTTGGTTCTCGATTAGACTCATATGGCCTTCCATCTTTCCTCTGGTTTCTAACTTCGGCTTGAGGGTACTCTTTCTTGTGATTCTTTCCATTTTCAACAGTATTTGTTTGGTGATTCTTTTCATCATTACTTGAGCGTTTTTTGTACTTTAAAGTTCCTTCATCGTGCCCATTGTAAATATCTTCGTTATGGACATCGTTGTTGTTTCGTTCTATGGGCATACCATATCGATCGGTATGTTGTTCATTATCTTTGTACTTAAGAGTTTCAGATGAGGCAGAGAATGTTTTGATTTCCTTTGAACTGTCTTTGAACGTTTTGAATTCCATAGTTTTTGGTGGACTTCGTTCGTGGGGAGAGTTTTTAGTTTTCTCTGAAGATAGTGTCGCTCGAACATGTGGCTTTATAGGAGTTACTTCTATTTCTTCAAACTCTGGCATATAAGCATTTTCTTTGCGTTTCTTAACATCTTCTTCAATCATTTGAGTCTGCCGACGTCTATCCATTTCTTGTTGCTTCCTTGATTTCATATGATCGTCTACAATTATACAATCATATGGATCAGTACTTGAAGCAACAGAATTTACGTCGGAACTGCTATCATTATCATATTTCTGTAAAATTTCTCTTCGTTTAACTGTTTTCATCACAAAACCTTCACCGTTTTCATCGTTATAGAAACTGTTTTCAAAGTTTGTTTTGATAGTGCTCGTGTTAGTTAAATCAGAGTGCCTTGATTCATTTCGTGGTACGAAATCTTCGTGCTTTTCTTCAATTATAGATTTCTCGGACATACTTTTTTTGTTCATCGTTTGAGTATGCTGGTACTCCATTGTTTTTCGACTTTTTTCGATTCTTTCTTCAGTTTGGATAGATCCTAAACTTTTCGCTTGGCGAATGCCATTAACAGCTTTCACATCTTTCCTATCAATCGTTTCTTTTGGACGTGGCGGTTGTCCGTTTTCAGTTGGCGGGGTTTTTTCAGGACTAGCTTGTTTTGGTATATCTGGTGCAGGTCGCAATTCCTTCTTCATTTTTTCAAAGAGCTTCTTTTTATACTCAGGGACAGTATCAACAATATCACGATGTTGCCAGAGCGACATTCCTTCCATTATTTCTTCAGCAGTAGTGCGTCCAAATTTCCAGAACGATTTTGTTCTTTTCACCTTTTGGGAGTCCTTGTCCATGTCCAGCATGTTACGCAACATCAGTTGTTGATCGTCGGTCAAGTATCCGTTAGCAGTATTGTTGGGTTTAGGGCCTCGTTTCAAGCTTTGAGTTTTAAGCAAATACGCTCTATTATCGATGTTTTGTTGAGCAGATTTACTACAAAAATAAATAAAAGAAAAAATAAATGAAACTAGCTAAACTACAACACAAGCAACACAAAAGTCAAGCAAACAGGAGTTGAAACTATTCTAAGCAGAAATAAAATTTACCTGATCGGCACACGGAGCCGTTGAGCTTCTTCATCACTGTAGTCTACATCGGGCTGTGGCGGCGGCTCGTTGGAGAATCCTGAGTCATTGGAGCTGTGCAATGATACATTTCCTACAGCACCAACAGCACTCACGACCGTTTTAGCAGGACCTGCTTTATTCTGGGCCACCTTGTAATAAAAATATCAAAGTTATTGACATGACTAGAAATAAGTTGCACTTATTTTTAAGTGGTCTTTTAATACATACCTGAGAACGCATAGGTAAAGTCTGTGGACCAAAACTCCTAGTTTCTATAACAGCATGAGTAGTAAAGCTGGCTGATGATGTAGAATTCTTGATGGCAGTGGTGGCACCTGGGGCTGGAGTAGAAGCGTGGAATGTGGCACTTGCTGAAGTGCTAAGCGCGCTGGGTGAGGGTGCTGGTAAAGTCGGCGGCAATCCTGGTGAGCCGCTACCAAGTCGTCCCTAAGGAAAAAGGTAAACATATTTAATATTGGATTTAACTTTATAAATTTTGTCGATAATATAAAGACATTCTAGTTAATTTACCTTAGTAACATGATGAGCAGTGACAGTATCGCCAAACATACGAGTAGATGGATGTGAGTGCGTGTGCACTGTGGCTGAGGGCGTAGTCTGCGCATGTGCCATTGGGGCGGGCGGTGGAGCTTCTGATGGCGTTTGTACGCAGCTCCATCGGGCTGGTGAATTTCTGCTGGAAAAGCTAGAAGTTAATGACCGTTAAAATAAAACATTGATATATAAGTTAGGAAGTTCTAATTATTTCAACATAAAATTAAAATTATACAAATGAAAACGTACCCAGCTTCATCAAACGGTATAGGTTCAGTGTAAGCGAGTGGGAACCATCCAGCGTGATGCGAGCGCAAGTTCTCGCCATATTGCCACCCTTTCGTCCTTTCTCCTAGCAGTGCTAATACATCTCCTTGTTGGAAGCTCAGCTGGTTGTCTCCGGCAGCTGCGTAGGCGTATAGAGCTCGGGCCAGTGGTGGGTCTCGTGTAGTGCAGGTCGGCGGGGCAAGAGAGGAAGGTCGGGTAGCTGTACGGGTATCTGTTGCTGTAATGTAATTAACTCGTTGAGTACCGTCATTATAGACACAATTATAGAACAATAGGTTACGGTCACCGGTGACCGCTTGGTGTTTCACAGTTTTAAAGCATTAATAATGTATAATCTGTTTTGTTACAAATAGTTCGTGCTTCCAAACTATTCTTAAAATGTGACATACTAACCTGAATCATCATTATTTGAGCTCGCTTGTAGATTGAAATCGGATTTGGCTCTTGATAGTCCTTGAGTTGGTGAGCCCAGGTCTCCAATAGACCTGACGTCAAGGCATGAAGCGTCCACTGATCTAGTTTTACGCAAAGCAGATCCTACTGAAGCTCGATCATCATCATCACCGACGCGTGGACTGGCGTATACGTCTTCATCAGCCCAGAATGACACTTGCTGTAAATAAAGTAGCAGTTATTCACTGATGCAGCTTTCAAGTATGTATGTAGCTTCTGATTTGTAATTAAGATGAAGTTTATCCTTGTACACCTCAAGAATTTAGTTCACCGTTTATACCTCACAAAGCCATAAAGTTTTAATCAAAATCAGATAAACAACCATAAAATGCCTTGTTTGTGAGGTTCACAGTGGGAGCCGCAATCCTTATTCCATTATAATTTGTAGGAATACGACTGTTTAATCGGATTACATACTTAGTGGGGGCTCATAAAATAATTTTACGTTAGTGGATGACAGATTTTTATGACATCACACCGTTGCACGGTGGGAATCAGTAACAAAGTACCGTGTCTCGCCTAAAATGTCCAGACATTGTGATAAAAAGTTATGATTTTTTTCACCTGTTTTTATGCTGCAATTTGCCTGCTAAGTACGCAATGATGGTAAAATTTCAACGACCTGTCTGGACCAGGGCTACTAATTGACACCTTTGAGGATAAAGTGGAATGTTCCGTTAAAATGTTCATTAAATTTTCGAATATTTTTTAAAGTATGTTTGCCGCTGCATTAGCGAGAGACTCTTACTTAGCTAATTTGCAAAGTAAGGTTATTCAATATCGCTGTATGTGTTTATTGTACGTAATCTTTAGTATCTGGTGACCATAGCCCAGTACAGCAATACAAATTGTGTTGTTGTGTGTGTTGTTGAGTTTATTAAACGTCAAGTTGATTTAAGAGATAAAGTGCCTTATTTGAATGGATAAACTGCAGCTGTTTACTGTTTTGCCCTTGAGAGCAGGAATGCAAGATGAAATAACGGTTTTAATTTAGTATAAAATATGTACGCAGGTTGCAAACTTATGACTGACAATAACTGACCAGCATATCAAGCTACCCTAATGTCTTCAACAGATTTTCGACTTTAGTTCAAAACAATAGAACTGATAATAAAAGTATAAAAGTGAACGTACTCTCATTCTGCTAACGAACATAGCTTCAACATTGGGTGGCAGGAATTCACGGGTTCGGGATACTTCAAGCCATTCATCAAGTCCAGAGTTGTAGGCAGTGGCGCCCGCGGTGTGGTAAGCCAACCAATGTTTAGCCAAGGAGCATTGCCGTTCAAGGACGAAGCCGTATCGACGACGTTCCTGTGTCATAGCCTGGTAAAAAAAAAATTCAGTAAAACATCTGGCTAAATAAAAAAAATACGAGTTTGTTATTATGTTACTACTAAAAAGTCTTAGTTTTAAATGCATGTGATATTATGTCATCATTGGTATGCGAAATCTTATGAAATTATGCATTTTTGCAATCAGGCCTTGATACATCGCATTGATATGTGAATTCTGTACGTAAATGTGCATCTTACACGTCTACAAATATGTTAATTTAGTTGTGATAAATAATATTTTAATTTTATATCATTAAAAAATGAAATTCGTATTATTATAATTTGAATAAAAAACATAGATATGTAACTGTAACTAAATCAAAGACAAGAAAAAAAAAGACCAAAGTTTTTGAAATCGGAATGCAAAGAAGCGTTCGTTGTTTAAACGAATAAAATCAAATTAGCCAACAGAATCTTTACAGACAATATTAAAACTAACTAATTAGAACTGCAGAAACGTTCGTATTTTTAATTAGATCATTATTGTCTGGAAGCGGTCCCCGGTATTCAATTACCAGACCTGTCTCCTGTCTGCGATACAATGAATGAATAAAACTGAATGTAGTTTTACTAAGATCAATAAAAGTTCTCTTTTATTGTTCGTTTTCCTTTGTAGTTGTATTGTGGTAGGATACAATTCGATGTTCGTTGTTGCAGTACTTACGTTCTTCAAGCTTTGTTCGCAGAACGCATCCAATTTAGTCTTCTCTTCCTCTAGTATCTGCATGTTCTGTAAAAATTGTTACAACGTCATTACAAGTTCGGTGTAGTTAACTATTGTAAAGTTTGCTCGTGAAGTATGTTTTCTGTTTTTAGTTCACTATTAGGTTATTACTGAAGTAGTTTTGATGTTTTCCTCGTTTATCCTCAGGAAAACAAAAATAATATTATGTTTAACGCCATCTAGCGTTATGCTATCATATTAGGTACATAGTTTTCAAATAGTCAACGTCGAGTCTAGTTTCGAAATTTAAAAAATGATTGGTAGGTATATTTATATCTGAGTTACGATTGGGATTTATGCTATTTCTTGCATTAAACAACGTATTAATTTCTTGTTAAATATTAGAAAAATAACAAAACAACGCGTACGGTAAAATCAATTATTAAAATAAAAAATTTAAAAAATAGTGTGATTGAATATTGTGTTGTATTATAAATTCGAAACAATTTTCTACAATAAAACCTACCTGCAAATATAAAGAGTGTCAAACTTCTTTTTAACAATTTATTATGGTTTTATAACCCGTATATCTTTTGCTGTAGTCGGCGACGTAGACGTACAAGTGCTTTCGATTTATTCAATAAAAATAATTAATACAAAAAACCATGCAGACTCAGGTCTCGCATTCTCAAGTGCGTATGGAAACCTAATTTTGTTCCTACATATTATTATTTTTGTATAGAAACTTTCTGGTTAATGGTGTGTTTCTTTCTACATTAAAAATCTGTATTGTGGTAGTTTACATAATTTATAATCTGTTGATGTACAGACGCTCGTATATCAAACTTCTCCGACTGTCATATTAAACATGAATGATTTCAACTTTAATATTTGGTAACCAATTCAAAATTCGGGTAAGCTTGATAAGTTATGTGTACGGCGTGTGAATTACATCTTATTTTTCAAGACAATAATGGTTTTAAATATTTCCTACAAGAGTCTTAAAAAGAAATTACAAGCAAATAATTATGCAAATTACGTGAAAATTTGTCATGTAAACGCATTGTGCAAATGTTATATGAACTAGTAAGTATTCTTCTGGTCTCTATACTCTCGTTTGAATAATGCATGCAATCCTAGTTTCCTATTACCATTCAATGAGAATATGCGGAGAATTTAAATCTATTTTACTACTTATTTAAACGGTACAGCATCGTACAAATAGGGGAATATCGTAAAAGGACGTTGAATAGCAAATAATGCGGTGTATTAGAACAGAGCGTATCAGTAGATATTTGATATTTCGTTTTGAATAAAATATGTAGATTCGAATAATATATCTAATGACATATCTGATGCTACTATCATGCTACTATAAATTATGCATAGAGGTATTCATTGATACAAAAAAATATATATTGCACAATTTATAATTTTTGTCGCCAACCTCAAGGTTGTCTGCAAGAGATTCCTATTTAGGTAGGTATTATACGTGTTTTAAAAATATTTCAATTTTAAATCAATTAATAGGTGTTCAAGTTTATAGTACCATTTTAATTATAGAAATTTTATAATTTAGGGTAACTTAATCGACGTTGAAATGTGCAGGTGGTACAAATTGAAATAAATTTTGACTTTGTATTTGACTTTTAGCAATAGTTACCTTCATCTCCTTGTCCATAGCTGATCCAACTTTAGTAACATTAGGTTTCTTCTTCCGTTGTTTTTTAATTGTCGCTGCAGCTTTACTGTAGCTCTCTGACCTCAGCTTGTGTTGTTGTAAAAACCTCTTTTGTTCCGACTGAAAAAGAGCACAAGTAATAAACAGAATGTCAAACATTTCTATTGTTTCACGAACATTGTGTCGTCCACTATATTTTTCATTTTATGAATTCCTAGTACCTGGGCTCTGATAAAAAGAACAATATAGTTTGGTTCGAGTTTTCGAGTGTCAATCGAAATTCTCTAATTTGAGCTGCGAACGGAAAGTGGCTTTCGAGTTGCTAAGGTCCAATTTGTTTTAGGAGCTCCGTACAATTTGATCTAATTCAATCTCTTCTCGACAGTATCTGAGAAAAACAGCCGTTGTACTCATAGTAAATGTGATTTATGTATTATCACCATGTAGTAAATAGTCACAGCTCGTGCTGAACAAACAAACTACGCCATTTGTAGAAATATATATAGGAAGTGTTGTCGAAACTTTTTTAATAGAAAATCTTATCTCACGGGTGCTATACTAAGCTTATTTGAACTCGGAACCCTATTCCCTTTATCTGGTAAACAATCCCTTGAAACTTGGAACTATTCACATAAAAGATTATGAAAGAAAAGAAGAAAAGAAAAAACCTTATTGACTGACCTGTACTACTTTTGTGTCTTTCTCCAGATTAGTTTCCAAGGGGACCAGTAGGTCTACGTAAAACGCCTTTAGCTGTAACAAACAAATAACTTGCAGATTATTGGATGGGGACGTTTTAGATAGTTTCTGTTACGAGGATAAATGTCAAGTAAAGGGTGGATACGGTATTTTAGGGAAAATAGATACGATGACCTCATTCTGTGTAGTAGGTATTCTAAACTTTTGACTATGAACATTCTGTGATTAAACTTTTCTGATTGTTGTGATTAATTTAAGTTTAGACTCAACATTTGATAAGAATAACTTTAGTTATTTTACATTTACGACTTTTACCATCCATTTCATTATTTAAAAGACTCGTTTGAAAACGATACTTACGATGTTCATTTGTTGATCTTGTATTTCTCGGTATACCTCTACCACCTTCATAAGAGCAGTTCCTGTAACATTGTTGCTATTTTAGTGATGTTTCTTACAAGTTCGGATCTTTAAAATCATAGAGTTAGTTAACTCTGTCTTTTAACTGTTTAGTTCTAAGAAGAAAATCTCAATTAGTCTCAGTAACTTTAGCAACTTTGCACGCTAATACAGAAGTTACTTCAATTTTGTCTCACTGAAGTTTATCGCTATCTGCAGGGAACTAGATCTTATTTCTCACAAATTTTTAATCAGTAATATGAAGAAATGGGTTCAAAGCCCCCATTTGTCTTTATTGCCAGCTCCATACCATACATAATATATTTCCATACCTATATCGGCGCATCCTCCCCATGTGCCCTGTTGTGCCTGCCTGCCAAGCTTCCCCACTGCATCGACATACAACCTCGATGCGGCGGCCGCACCTGCGCAAAAAACCATTCATATAAAGCCCATATGTATGCACTGATGTCCTTCACCATCGCCCCATTTGAAACGAACAAGGTTTAATGGAAACGTGCCGATTCACGATACATCTGGGGATTGAGGGAAAAATGAAGAGTGCATTGGAGGCCTATTGTTTTATGAAAGTCCTCGTTATTGACTGAGGAAAGGGTGGAATTATATCTGTTTTGAACATGACGTGGTTAGCTGTATGAATGACGTAGATGAATTGAATATGGGATGGAATGATGCAGATAAATGAATAATCGAAGCGGTATGAGTATGAACACTCAAAGCTATTCATGGTTTTGTAAAAGGTTGTTGTGGATTCCACGACACTTAATTAATTCTCGATAATTATATAACAGATTTTGGAAAACTATATTATGTTTATTTATAAAACTGATTTCCATCTATAACACCTAACAACACAGTCTAGCTATAACAATTATGACTTCAAAGAAACTAGTTTCATGAATTTGGATACTAAATAATGTGAAATATACAGCGAAATTATGCTTTAAACTAGTTTATTTTCACTGTTATTAACATAAATCTCACATAAAGTTTGCTACAATAAAAATTAATGTAAAACTTCTTCGATAAGTTACTGTAACTAATTTGGATAGACGATGAATCGATTATATTAAATAACGAATAAAAAAATGAGATGTTTTCTATCGCAGATATGTCGATGCGATTACGTATTTGGACGTTATACTATTAATACCTACTAAACTATCGAATACTACAGATGCGAGCACATCAATCTACCTTTGGGGTTGACTGTCATATTTAATTAATAGAGTTTCGACTTTATTACAATACAATAAAGAAGAAAATGTGTTACAGAAATTTTACTTTTTGGAGTACTTTCTTATGCTGTTGTCTATTTATATCGCCTCTATTCATTATCTAAGCGGTGAAAGTACTTATTATTATTAAATTACAGCATTATGTCATCTAGCTCCACATTACACATGTTTTTATCTTTTTTGTTACATAAAGCAGATTCTGAATGTAAAAATGATTGATCTTTTTCTTTTCTTGTAAAGATGGACGGTCATTGATGAAGTGGGTTAACGATCTCTGTACCATACTTACGTAAACTTGAGCAGCAATTAAAATTCTTATAATAAATTGTAAGTAATTTCGCAAATGTAGGTATATGGATAGGAATGCGTTGCGGTTACGGACTTTTTGGCTACCGTGTTACCTACATCTTCACCTATTAGTAAGTTATGAGATCATACAGACAATTAAATCGCATCAAAGTCTGCTGTAAACACCTACCGCCAGTTACTAAGATCCTTACATAGTTAACTTCTTCGTTAACTGTCAAACACCGCGAGGACACCGGCGACCGCAACCTATTGTTCTTTAAACTGTCAAACACCAAGCGGTCACCGGTGACCGCAACCTATTGTTCGATAATTGTGTCTACAAAACCGGTACTCGACGAGTTAATTGTGTCTGTTATGACGGTACTCAAAGGGTTAATTTGAGTAAAAGCTTTATGTATGGATATGTTATTTATTAGTTTTGCAAATAATAAAACTATTTTTTTATCTTTATAACAATACGAGCTACTTCCACGTGGTTTCACCTATGTTCAGTTTTTATTGACCATAGCATGATGTTTTATAGCCTATAATAACCTTCCTCGATAAATGGGCTATACCTCTACAATACAAAAAGAAGTTTTCGAATTGGTCCAGTAGTTCTTGAGATTCAAAGAAATAAACAATCAATAAAACTCTTCAGTTTCTTCTAATAATAAGGATATAAGATAGAAAGAAGTAAATGGATATAAAGTCTATCTGACTTTGAACATCCTACTTAAGATTAAAAGTCCATAAAATACAGGCAGTGATTTACAGTAAGCAACAAAAAATCTCTTATTATTCCTCGATGTTATCTAAACTAGAATATCTATGGAGACACGTCTTTGAAGGTGAATAGGATCCCCTTATCTTTCCCCGTGTGGGTTGTTACAGAAGGGATTATCGTTGGGTACCTGTTCTTCGATAAAATGAATATGTACCTCATCGAGTTATCTCAGACGTAGGTTCGGTTTCAAAGTACCTTACTTACATAATCTGTGACTACGGCGGCGGCCTAGCCACAAAAAAGGTATGAACGGGTTTTAACAAGATCACTTGCCTTAATTACCTTAACAGAGCTAAATTCTTAAAGTTCGTTAGAATAAATTAAACAGGTAGGTACTTGTATTTGGCACAAGCCAATAAAAGTACGGTTAAACACCAAAAGTTGTTGTCCTAAAAATGTTTGGAGGTCGCAACAAGATTTTTTGCCCTTCCAAGTAAAAATATTCAGGCCAGATGTAAAGATGCCGATGGTATTTTACGAATCTGTGAGGCGCCATAAAATCTTAAGTGCTTCAAGCTTTCAATCGTGGAATTAGACGAAATTAAATCTTAAGACCCATTTTACTCAATAAAACAAAAGTAAAGTCATTTGTTTTAAAATGTAATAAAATGATGATAAACGTGAAAACAGAGGCGTCCGTAAATTACAGTTATATGCAGTTTTTATTGTTCCCTTGTGCTTGAATCCTTTGATTTACAAGCAAAAGTTTGAGACACAGAACAATAAGGACAAAGTTGTGATAATAAATAAAGAGGTCACTTACTGACTACCTATTACCCTATAAACCGAGATAGAACAAAATTAACCACAAAACATCAAAATAAAGTACATGGAGGCCTTTGGAGCCATACATCGCGGGAATGCCCAAGTTTATTACAGCTAGTGCTGGCTACAATACTGTAGATAAGCCAGCAGAGACAATTTGGCACAAACCACGCCCCAGTTCCGTAGCCAAGCAAGGGAACACCGAGGTTTTGCATATAGATGCGCCCATTTGGCTTACACTACATAAATTAATTGTACACGTTTCACTGAATACGCGTCAACTGAGATTTACGGGTCGCTGCGACGGTTTCACTTTCTTATTGATGTAGCTAATTGTGTTGTGTCTAGCTACGTCTAGGGTATGCTAATTTCTCCACAGACAAAGCCTAGGACCGTGTCTTGTTCTCTTGTGTCTGAAGCTAACTGAAGTTTTGTTTTGAAATGTAAATCTTTGATAATAAGATTCATTATCACTAAACACAATAATTAGAGACGATAATGTAAACATTGTATAATGGAATGGATGATTGTTAAGTAAAGAAATCCGCTTTATGAACAGCTAATGTCTTCATTGCCGTGTCATTTTTGTTCCGGCAACGTAGCAGAAGAAAATAATTGCATTTATAAAAAGAATACGATACGTTTCTATCCTTGTCATTTTGGGTCTGACGTCATTGACGTGTCATTTGTTTTGAAATTTACAACGTCGCTGCATTGTGTTATTTAAAAAAAAAACAATATCATACATCAATTTAATGTTACTATTTTTTTTTTTCTAAAAAGGACCGGGTCCTGTTGTAGGACGTTCGATGCAAGTATTTATTTATTACGAATTCCTCAAATAATAACTAATGTTTGAAGTTGTTTCAGTAATAAGTTCCTAGAAGAATTAAAACCCATTTAACGCCTACATGGCAAATTTCCAGCTAGCGGCAACGACACACAGTCCAATCTTAAAACTAGATGTTTAAAATAAGTTCTAATTAGTGTAAAACAGCTACAAGTACGATTATATCTTTTAATCACCTCTTACAAGTCATGGGAAGATCCCATATCTTGTTCTTAGTATTACTAAGGAGCCTACAATTACGTAGTGGTGTAAATTATATAGCTTTGATTAGCGTAGAGTGTTGCAACCTGTTCACGATGATCACAATTTATTGCATCTCCAGATAGGCACAGGTGCTTATTATATAGGCTTATTGTGTATTAAAATACTTGTTAGTATCTGTGAGATTGTTATCTCACAGAACTTTCGGACTAATGTTTTAGGAACAAGGATTTTTCTAGATTTAAGGTGAATTTAAATAAATATAATTATTTAAAAGTTAGGTAGATGTACTACTTCTTTGCTTTTCATGCGTCTTTGATCAAATTCTATTTAAATATGACATACGTAATCACTTTGTACTTACAGAGAAGAAAATATAAGTAGTATTTCTAAGCTGTAAAAACGGTGTCACTCTTCTCCATCCACAGATAAAAAAATGTAATATTCAAATTAGGCGCGTATACAAAACCATGTTCTGCACCAAACTCAATTTAATAAAAAGGTGTGATGTGATAAAAAGGTACTTACCGTGTAAAGCCTTTAAGTAGGCCTTTCCGGCCGTTATCATCTGACGAGCACCTGGATTAAATTTGTCCAAAATATTCTGAAACAACAATAACAGTAATTTGAAATGTTTGTACAGAATTTTGTACTAATATGAATGGGAGAGTTTTGTTACCGAGTTCTCAGGTAGGTGGCGCTTTATACTTCTGTTTTCTGTTACAAATTTAGGTTTTGGTTTCATTTTCATCATTTTCAAGAAGAAATTATGACTACATTAAGGAAATTCTCTAGTCTTTTATCAGCAATAATAAATCTTACACTTATTTAAATTAGGTGCAATTTATACCTATCTAAACGAATAATAAAATCAATATTTATTATGTAATTATCAAATTTATCTCTCTCAATATAAATGTCAACCGTCCAATTAATTATACATCACAATAGAAATCGGTGATAGAAAATTTGAAATACGAAAATTCATTTTAATAACAATCATAATGTTACATCACTAAAATAGACAATCAATCGAACAAGCGAAAGTCTGCAGACTTTTAGAAACGATACCATAAAGAAAGATGGCTGAATAGATAAGGTCCATTCATATGCAATTGTAAATGAGGTCTTAGACCGTAAATAGACTTTGGTGCTGGAATGTGGCCTTCAAGGATGCTGCAGCGGTTTGCTACCAAGGTGTGGCGATACGACATTCCTTTACAAATACTGCTATAAGCCACTTCTCCGAAAGCGCTAACTGCGTATAAAAATATCTAGTACTTTTGCATGTTCTGCACGAATGAATACCAAGTGGCTATAAGATCTTTTACATACAAACGGCCAGTGTGCCAGTTTATAAGTAAAACAGTTACTTGCATTGCCTGGATTTAAAAATCGTTTTGTATTTTAATTTATGAAACTGGTGTCATGATATAGATGATTTCAATTTTCGTTTTATTGGCATTAGGGCTTATTGAAACAAATTACCACACTGTATGCCCATAAATTAAGATTTAAATTTGGTAAAGCATTAAATTTCATTCATTTTCAAATTTAGCATCAAAACGATAAACGACACAAACACAAGGGATCGCATATATCAGAATCAGCTGTAGCTTTATACAACAGCAATGTCGGAATCGAACACCCGAACAGCGATAGATAGTTATTTATTTGCTCCTTTTCTGCACAAAATTGCTTATAAGCCCGAAAAAGAGTTCCACTAAATCCCTCCAAATATATCGCGCTCGTTGTTTAATTTAGCAACAAAATGTCTTTTCGCCGTCTATCTAAATCGATACGATATACGAGGCGAGAAACAGGCCTTAGCTTTTATGTCCTACGGATCCTCTCAGATAACGGAATGGAGTAATGTAGGAGAAAACAAAACACTGGCGACGTGCAAACTGTTTCTCTATCCTCACATACTCGAATTGTTTAACACACAGAAGCAAATGTTTCCACTCCGTATGTTTCAGAAAGCTAATACAATCTTCATACGGTTTTGGAGTTCAACCAATTTGGTTTGACAGCGTGTCTACAGTATTGTGCTTTTGAAATAAGGATAATGTCTCTTCATTTCATATTAGTGTTAGCGTTTAGAAATCTAACAGAGAAATTGTGTGAAATACAACTGGCTAGTGTCGCCGAGTACGTGCTAAAGTATTTAAAATATCGATGAGTTTACCTAGTTTTCACTGATGTTAACGGTAATTTCTTTTCAAATGCTATTGAGGAATTCGAACATATTTTTTACTTCGTCTAATACATACATTTCTTGATAATTCTGTCTGTTTGCAACGTAACTTTTTCCTTATCCAGCAGACTGAAGCGATCTTCTCCCTATTACATATTAATTTAAGCGTAAGCGTTCCTTTATACACGTTTAGATACGCATAGCGCAGCGACCCCTACGCTAAAGATTCTCCATCGTAAGCATGTTAGGGTATAAGTAAGTGCGTGGAACGGAAAATGGCCGAGTATTCCGACCGGCCCGTCCTAATCCCCAGGTTATTGCCACATTACAAAAAGCCAATGCATTTTCCCTTCTACACCAATATCAGTAGGCTGTATGCCCCTAACTACGTGCTAATGTGTTTTACGATGGGAACACTCCAATTTTTTTATACTTTGTATTTCCTGGTGTTAATGTTTAATTCATTTTGTTGTATTTTGTGAGATGCGTTCAAATTGTTACCTTTAGATGAAAGCGAGACAAGTGGTGTTTTATGTTTTTGTTTGTGTAATTATGTAAGCAGTGCTGCGACAAACTTGTAACGAATTTAGTTCGGATAGGTAGTCACTATGACAAAGTAGTATGAAATATTTTGTTATAACTATAAATAGTTTAAAAGTCGAGCGAAAAATCAGTGTGGTAATGTTTGTTATGAACGGAACCATTATTGAAGCGTTGTCCTCTGACTCATTCGATCGTGCTCACTCAATCGTGCTATGATGCAATATGTTTCAATGGAACTACATCAAAATTATTATTTATAAGCACGGCTCTGTATACAAATATTGCTTGAACTTCAATCTGAGCTCAAAAGCAGTTGTTTGCAAGGAGCAACTGTTAATATTTACCCGCGACCCGGCGGATCCTCGCCATCCGCACTTTCACCTTTACTCTCGACTTACTTTTGTTATTCAATGCTATTTCAACGGTAAAACCTTTCTCGGGACATTCCATATTGCTACGTTCACTGTTTATAAGGGCAATCTTGGCACTTAGTACCTACCATATTGTTTATTGGATAAATGTTACCTTTTATATCGCTATAACTTGTAATGGATCACTCACGGTTTATGCCTCATGTAGTTAGCAATCGGTCATTAATCGAGATTCTTCGCACTACTTGAGCGTTTCATTGGAAATACTTGTCGATATGGGGGATAGACATAAGTACAATATAGGTTGCTGCCTGCTGGGTCAACGCTTTCAACAACCATCAAAGCGTTTCTCTTCAATTGAGACCCGCATGGAAATCTGTAGATTACTGATTTACTCTTATTTATAAGTACCCTTGTCCTCAATACGATGTTAAGCCGTGGGGCGTCCATCCTGCAGACACTTAACGTTTTAAATAAGTTATTTGTCCCATCTTCATGGTCGTTCAATACACGACGATGACTGAAATATATGGCTTCTCGGTTGGGGCGGGCGGGAAGCAATTTTTCACCGGATTCAGACGTACCTTTTTAAAATACCGAACAGGCTGCGTCGGTCGTAGGTAGGCGCGCTTATTGCTCGCGTCGAGAGCGTAAATCTTGAGGGAGAATCGTATACGGAAGACGGCCAAGGGTGAAAAATAGATTCGCACTTAGAAAAATTAAGCAACTCGCGAAGGGGAGCCGTTGGAAATATTTTTCGTCTATAATAATTCATAGTACATAGTGTATTTTTGGTCGTGAACATTGATTGCATTGAGAGAAACGTAGGCAGTATTTCCTCTCACACAATCATACAGAGATTTAGGTTAGATAAAATATGGGGCCTTTAGCATAACTTGGAAGTCATTTATCATTTGGAAATCTCTTTGAGACATCACGTCCGTCACAAAAAGATGACGTATCCCTTGACATAGGTAAAATACTCGTATGAAATTGTATCGTGAGCTAGCTATTCTAATGTAATACTGTGACTTTATCCCATCCTCTTTATTTGTCGGGCACGTAGCACACGACATTTGCTACAAAATTGCTTGGGGCGGACTTCGTGACGTTACGGGCTTTCGTACCCTTTTCGGGCCTAATGTTCTACGCACACGTCCGATATTTTTTTACTATCTACCGGGAGTATTGGCTATTGAAATTCATATGGAATTTTACGATAGTCGGGTATGTCAAATCTATATTGTCCGCTATATTGATGTTCTGGTTGTTAAGATTATCATTGTCGGGTATAAATTGATGACTTGCATAAATAACCTTTATTTTTATTTCATACGCTACGTTACGATCTAGTTACAATACATACTAGCAATTATTGCAGTTATTTTAACACACGAGCTCTTATATCTACATGCCTACCTACATTTTAACAAAGATGTGAATTCTGCCAGATCGTCAAACTGAACGTAAATTTCATCGCGATTGTATTAGGTAGGTATATTATGAAATTAGGTTACGAATATTTCAGTAACAACCAGCTCAGCAATTAATTCCGCAGACACGAATTTAATTGCATTTAATGCGTCAAAGTGTGCAACAAAATAATTGAGTTAGATCTGCTGCAAAATGTGAAATAATTTTAACCATTAACTTCACAAACAATCCCCCGTAGATCTACATTAGTCATACATGCATAAATTAAATTAAATTTCATAATTCACATGAGCAACGTTGCGGAATACTTTATGAATTTAATTACTAACTTTGATGACGTGCCTCTCTCTGCTGTCTGATTTTTAATCGTTTTACGGTGCGACTGTAATTAAAGTTATTTATTTTAGGGCTTTGGTAAAATGATAATGTAATTGTCATGATTTATTTACTCTGACATCACGTCGTGCGTGACAGCGTAGGTAGCTTTACATCATTCATAGACTGTCGTCTATCTCAAGCCCTGCCGCGAGCAAGTAATTACAATTCACTTCAAAGTCAAACTGCGACAGTATAACCTGACAATAAAGCCGAGACGAGCGTCGCGACACCGGCGCGGCGGTACGAAGTTGCCAGTAATCTCAGGGTTTAAATCTTTTATAAAATGTTTTGGGGACACAAACATGCAAGTTGTACGACAGCCGGCGGGATGTTTGCACAGCGCACTTGTTGCCACTCTAGACGAGACAGGGACATGGCTATGTTGTTTACAACATGCCTGCAAGCGAAGTTTATCCTTAAAATAAAAAAAGATCAACAAACTTTTTACCCAACTCCTACCCCTAAAGCTTTCTGCAAAAGTTAACTTGCCAGATTCGCTACACGAAAAGCAAATTTACGAAAGACGAAGTTTTTATGTGAGTTTGAGTGTTTCCGTACCTGTATTATCTTTGCGAGGTTTTATTATAATTGTCTTATAGACACGGTGCACGATGACATAATCTTGTACAAAAATGGTGGTAGAGACGTCGGTATTTATTGTTGTATATAGACATGAAGTTC